CATAACTGTTATATGGATTTACGTATACAGATTTACATATATAGATTACATATGATTGTAATTATAAAGTGCTACTTACTCATCAGCTTTATGGCACTCAAGCTAACAAAATAGTATGAATAAGAAAAATACTAAATACAATTACACATTTTTGCATTAGAATGCCTTAATAATCAGCTGTTACAAACTCTAAACTAATTTTATTTTAAAACATAGAAAAGCTTATAGCTTTCAAAGTAAAACAAACCAACCAAATATATATGCTGGATATAATTAATGAGCTATTTAAAAATTGGGCCTGTTTATGCAGAAGTTATAATTAGAAGAAAGTTTGTGGGTTTTTTTCTTTCTTTTTTTTTCTTTTTTTAAACACAGCATACATTTTCTGAGAGCTACAAGTGCTATGAATTTTTAAATATACTCCAAATGCAAACAGTGGAAGGTATGGGATCTGCATGCATAAGGTATTTTAACTTCTTAGCCCACTAGCTCAGAAAAGATGATGAATTCAGCAAATTAATCGCAGTTAGATCTAATCTTCTGAATGTCTCCACCACACAGGCAAACCTAAGCACATGCTGGCTCAGCTTCCACTGGCACCACAAGACAACAGAAGACCACATACGTCTGCACCTTGGCTGACTTCCTGCACTGCCCAGAAAGCGTAGCTAGTGAACAGGTCTCTGTGCTCGGGGTCCGGACCTTCCAGTGAAGAAGCTGCATCACAGGTATGGTATGCACTCTTACAGTCCTGATGTTAAGGCAGAAAACTCTGACAGAGTTTGAGGAAAATGAGCAGTGGCAGCCATTTCTACATCAGTGACAAGAAGGATCAAAATTAATTTGTCCCTACAGACTCCTTAGAAAAGAAATAGATTTCAAATTGGATAACAAGAGAAAGACCAAAAATAGGCTTTACATTAGGTTTTAAATGGGCTAATATGAGCACATCTGTAAATAAAACATAACGAGGGTAATTGTACAATTCATCTGTCATTTCCAAGAATTTGTAGCAAAAAAAACCACAAGCAACTAAGGCGCACACTGTCAACACTTCAGATGGTAACTCACTACTGTTAGAAAAAGCGCGTGCAAATTCTTGTGTATTGTTTGTTCAGAAGTATTGCTGTATTTTTAAAACAAGATGCTTTGACTCCTTAATCTCAGATGAGTTTCATATGCACAGCTGATTTTATTCTTGTCTTGTAAAGTTTCTGGAATTCATACTCAAAGAGTGATAGATAGTTTGTAAAGTTTGGCTATTCAGTCAGATAAACCAGAATTGCACAGATTGAACAAACAGCACAACTACTATACTAATTTCACACATAGGCGATGAACTTTTGCTGTTGTTCCATCCAACGATAGCTTTTACAAGCAACTTCACCAGCAGCACAGAGGGACCAAGAACTGACTTAGCCAGCCTGTCTATCTTAGCATTTTAGGTCAGACATAAAAGTGCGTTTGAAGCAAATCTTCTGTGCATCCCACTGCTCCAGGTCATATTATGGAAGCACCTCACAATAGGCTACTATATTTTTTTCTACAAAGCTGACCTAGAAGATGCACTCTAGGAACACACCTAATACTAACACAGGCCAGAAGACCATGCAAGAACTTTGTCAAAGCAGAACTTGTGAAATGCATATGCAGTGTCAACATCAGGTCCTCAGCTTCCCTTGTGCTGTGTTACATTACTTGCTAATACAAACACCAATGCACAGATAACTGAGTTATGAGAAAAATAACTTGACAAAAAAAAACCAACCAGCCAGCTTTTGACTAAACAAGCTTCCTCAACCAGCACATCGTGTGTTCAAATGAATGACAGTGCCAGCATAAGGCAGCTCCAACTTCCCGTGGTTGAAATAACAATGAGATCTGTGATAGGTGACAAGTGAAATACCCGGTCACCCTAAAAGGGGAAGGCTCTCGTTTCTTCTTCCAGCAAATGGTTTTCGTGTCTCCTTCCTTATGCCAGCGCTGACATTCATTCAGCCTCCTAGTTAGATACAGAGATAAAAATCAACAAAAATTTGGAATTTTCTACTTGCATAGCCCCTGGAACCAGTACAGCACAAAAGCGTCAGACAAGCGGAAGAAGCTGCAAGTAGGAGCATGTGGCTGGGGGAAGACTGAGCCACCTCTATCAGTGGCTTCTCATCATTAGAACAGCTTAACTGCAGAATGAAACCACGCCCTGAGAGCAATTTAAATACTCACATACTGTTAGTACTCAAATACTAACTGCTGTGAAGTAGCTGGACTTGTTATCTCCACACATATACTTTTATCCTCTATTTTATGCATATCTTCTGCCTTAATGCTAATTTCAATGATGTGCACCAAAAAATAAAGCAGAAATGAAGGTGAGCGAAGGCTGGTGTTCTCACATGAGCAGTTTAGGCTCTAAGACAGTCTGTGCTACTGTCACTGTGGTAGTGCTAAGGCTGTCCCTTTTTATGTATATACTATGTATCATGTACAGGTTTTCATTCTGAGTTTTTGTTGCCTTGTGATGTATACAATTTATGTACATCTAATGCAACTGTTTCAGTCTTCTGTGTGTTCATTCCTTCTCCTTTATCAGGCAGCTGAGAGAACCCCTTAGAGCCAGGAAGGAAAATGATTAAGAGCTTATTAACTTTTCATGTTGTAAGATGTAAAAATTGCAAATAAACATAACCCTTTGCAGGAAAGGCTGCTTGTGTATCCACTACCAAAGACAGATTTGGGAACAAAACAAGTTACAGGCCCAGAAATGCAATTAAGCCACACATGCTCAATTCAAGAGACAATTCTGGATTATACAGAGGCTATTTACAGACCCACAGGACTGAAGAGCAAAACTTCAGGTAGGTCCTCAGGACTATTTGGTGCCTGTTGAATTTGAAGAACAGCAATTTTGTACCGTTTTGCATTTCACATGACTACTACTACAACTGCATTCCAGGATTATATAAGATTTGAGAAATTGAATTGAGTTCCTTTCCACCACGAACATCAGGTGCTTCAAATGAACAGGTAAGGGCACAGTACCATGTGATTAAAGGAAAATCCCACCTCCATCACACGGTTTCATTATTTCATAAGCTCTATCATTTGGAGTTGTTAGTTTTGTATTTATAGCTTCTAAGCAGCAAATATAATTTCCCTTGGAAATACAATGTCTTGGTGCAGGCATCAAGCAGAAGCATATTTTGCTGAGACCAAGAGCAGCTAAGCAACTAGAGTCTGTCCTTAAATACAAGGTACTTCACAGGTGACCCACAGTGATTGCACAAGCCATCTGAAATGAGTCACACCGCTAAGGGCATTTTGACTTTCTTTGTATTATTTACAGTTTCATACCTCATGCAATCTAACATCTCCTTTGCTGTTTTTACTGCGAGGTTTTCCTTGCGATCTCTACAGAGATAAGCTAGGCCTGCTCCTTAAGTTTGCTTATTTAGAAACCATGGAATGATGCCCAAGTAGTTTAATCTTTCATTCAGATGTGCTCTACTTTGCAAGAAAATATTTCACCTCCTCTGCAACAGATAAGGACTTAATCTGCGGCCACTTGCATTCAAAATTCCAAGTCTCTCCAAGTTCTTGTACCCAGCGCTCACACAAAGCAAGCTCCAGTACTAGTCTGGATCCCTGTGTAAATAAAACAGGCAAGTTTTATGGAAAAAGAGATTTTAAATGGAACAAACCTTCAAACATTCACTTTCCTGGGATGATTCCTCTGAAACGTGCTGGCCACATGCAAAAAGTAGCAGTGGGTGGCCTTTGAGAAAGCTCATTCACAAAACACCGAGCACACAGACTCCAACCATTCAGTCCTGTCTGACAAGTCATCAAATAAAAGATTACTAGTTTTACCAGTAAGAAGTTTTCCTTATTCAACCTTCTCCTGTTCCTTTATTTCTATTTAAAAACAACCACTGTCAACTATCATTTTTCCTACTGAGCTGGAGCACATGATTCAAGGCATCTGAAGTCCTTTTAACTAACCCACTCGCACTTACGGGCCTAGAACAAATCAGTAATCCTCGTTAAGCGTAAGTATTCTCCTGAAATCTGGTAATAAAGCGCTGAATGCTGACATTCGTGTGCTGTGTTTCTGGCTACAGTAAGCATTGCTTTGTTAGAAGGGGCTGCTCACCTAGCTAAGAAGATTTAAGTGCAGAGAAGATAGAATGGCTTTTGGGTACAGTTCTACCGAAAGCATCCTTTCGAGGTAGATCAAAATGCTACCTAAGTATGGAACGGGGAACTCCAAAAGCAGGAAACTGCTACAAACAGGTGTTGGTGAGAATGATTCACTGGGAATACTTTCCTCAAGCGATCGCAAGAGGCACATCAGAGCTGACTGCTACGGCAGTAGCTCTGTCCTACTGCTACCAGCACTGAGATGTCACTCGCTCACGGAAGCAGTGCTAAAAGTCTTCTTACACACATTGTTAGCATGGACCTACATCGTTCTTAACACCGCGTTTCCCAGCGTTAGAAATATTTTGTTAACCACAGCCGGTATCTGCCACGAACCCTCATAAAAAGCCGTGTGACTCGGATGAAGCAGCCCAGCCTCACTAACACCCGATGGCAGAAACCCAGAGTCCCTCCAGCCCCGTTCCCCATCCACACGCCGCAGGAAGGACCCTTCCCACACCGCGGTGCTCTTCAGGGTTCTCAGAACGGCCTCAAACACGGCAACACCCCGCAAGCCACAGTACCGGAGGAGCCCCGTCCCGCCCCGCAGGCCCTGCACACCCAGCAGCGGTGCCCTACGCGAGGACGCGGCACGCCGCAGCCACCCCTCGCTCCATCCCACCCCCGGGCTCAGGTGGCCGCAGCCGGCCCGGACAAAAGCTCCGCGCCCCGCGTGGGCTGCGGGCGGGTCGGGCCGGGCCGGGCGCGGCGGCGGGGAGGAGCGGCAGGGCGGACCGAGGCCGTCTCCCCGCCGCGGGCAGGAGGCGCGGGGCGGCGCCCGGGCCGGGGTCCGGCACGGCTACCTGCATCACCACGTCGTTGGGCAGCTGCGCGGCGCGGAACAGCTCCAAGACGCGCCCGTTGGACGCCACTTTCTTGGTGCTCTCGGTGTCGCAGTAGGAGAAGAGGTCGCAGTAGTAGCGCTGCTCCGCCTCGCTCAGCGTCAGGCCCTCCATTTTACGCCCCGGTTCCGCGCAGCGCTGCTGCTGCCGCCGCCCCGCATCCAGCGGCGGCGGCGAGAAGGAAGGGGGAGCGCGCGGGGCAGCCCCGCGCCCGGCCCGGCCCGTCGGGGAGGCGGAGGGTAAGACGCCGCCGCCGCCGCGCGCCCCAACCAGCCGCCGCGCGCCCCAACCAACCGCCGCGCGCGAGCGACAACTCGCACCGTCCCCTCCACCAACCGCCCGCCCGGCCGCCCACACGGCGGCGCGCCTGCGCGCCTCCCCTCGCGCCTGCGCACAACCGCCTGGCGAGCGCGCCCCGGCGAGACGGGCGGGGCGGGGGCGGGGGCGGTGGCGGAAGCGGCGGCCCCGGAGCCGGGGGACGAGGGTGCGACCCAAGGCCCGGATGTGGGGGCCGCCGAGTAGCGCCCCCTTCGGTCTGGCGGCGGCGCTGCCCCGCGCGGGGCGCTGTAAGGGGCGGGTGGTGGTGCCTCCCGTGCGGCCCGCGCAGCCGTCCCGGCCTCGAGTGGTTAACCGCCTTTCTCACTCAGCGATGTTGGCGTCTTGGGACCTGTGTGAGCAGCGCGGTGCCCCGCAGGCAGACTTCTGTGCGGCCTCGAGGCTTGGGGGTCTGCCCCACGCCTTCTTGATAATAAAGAGTCACACCTTTCAAAACATGTGCTGTACCATGGGTGATTGCCTTACTCAGTACGCTCTTTCCAGTGCCATGGAATCACAGAGTCACTTCTGGGAAGGAAGGAACCCGCAGGACCATCGAGTCCGACCACAGGCTCCACACAGCATCACCCCAAATCCAACCCCAATGTCTGAGAGCATTCTCCAAACACCACTTGAACCCCAGCAGTGTGGGGCCGTGACCACAGCCCTGGGCAGCCTGTTCCATGCTTACTGCCCTCTGGTGAAGAACCAGAGTTGGATGAGCTCACTCACCCCTTCAGCTAGATCTCCTGTTCTGCGTGTCTCTCACTTATGCTTTTCCACGATGCCAGGTGTTCATGAAGTAAATGCGTGGTCTCGTTGCAGGGCAATAAAGGTCTTTCCAGCTTGCTTGCCTTCTGGAAGGAGCCCAGCGTCTTTGACACATTCATCATCATCGTAGAACCGTTATAGAATCATTTGAGTTGAAAGGGACCTTTAAAGGTCATCTGCTACAACTCCCCTGAAATGAACAGGGACATCTGCACCTAGAAATTAAATGTCGTGGTCCCCCGGTGGGCCCTTCCTATGGCTTGATCTAATTTAAATCCAGTACTTGGTATACAGAGGCATCTTCTCTCTCTCTTTTTTTTTTTTTTAATTCATCCTTCTTCCACTTTTTCATTTCACCTTCCTTCACAGCTTGCCCATCTCTTCCCTTTGCAGATTGCCATTGCTGTCTGATGTACTGCTCTTAAGCATCTCATCCTTTCACAGAATCACAGAATCACAGAATGGCCAGGGTTGGAAGGGACCTCAAAGGTCATGAATTTCCAACCCCCCTGCCACATGCAGGGCCACCAACCTCCCCATTTAATACTAGACCAGGCTGCCCAGGGCCCCATCCAATCTGGCCTTGAACAATTCTAGGGATGGGGCATCCACAACCTCTCTGGGCAGCCTGTTTCAGTACCTCACCACTCTCGCAGTAAAGAACTTAAATCCTTTCTGCCTAATTAACTTAAATCCTTTCTGCCTATCTGCTGAAGATGGTTATGTTCTGGTCTTAAACCAGAGATTCATCTTCCCTGCTGTTTGAAATACTCGATCCTCCTTTTGCCGATAACTAAAGTTTGTGATAAATTAGCTTATAGTTAAAATAACAAAGAGAAAATGATCTTCCAAAAAATGAATATTGTCCAATTTTTGCAACCTGAAATGATATTAATGTTTAAGCCACATTTCTCAGTTAGTCGAAATCCTTCAATATAGGCAATGCTGAAGACATAATTAACTTTTTGATATTATACCTAGTTATTATGATTTTACAGTCTGAGATAAGGCCACCTTATCATCATAGGTCACTTAATTTGAGCTATTTTCACATCAGAATCTCTGTAAGTATAATGAATGTAACCTTACCCTCACTGCTAAATTGCATGCTGCAATTCTATTAGTTACACAGAGCTGCTTGTAGAAGAGATTGTTCAAGTACTTATTAGGAGGTGACTGAGTTCCAAGTGCCTTTGCTTCTTGCAAGTTCAGTGACTGTATGCTTGCGTGGGCCCTGGCAGTTAAAGATTAATACATGCATCTATAGCCATAAAGTCCCTCACAAGCTGGTGTAAGGACACCAGAATTATTGTATTTGTCAAAATAATTTTGCATTGTGAGTTTTACATCTAAAAATAGTCTGTACAACTTATTATTTTAATTAAGCTGCTATTTTATTATTAGCATTTTTTTGCAGTGGGACCAGTCTTTTCACATTAATTACTTGGCTGCAACAGCATGTGTAAGACACAAAGAATGCAGGGAGGAGATTCCCTAGAATGGACTATTGCTAGTGTCTTGATGCCAAATAATGCTGATGTTTAATAAACACGTATCTCACTAAAACCATGACTTGCCAATAAAAGTGTAAGGGAGGTTATAGTGAGATATTCACCATGTATAGCACACACTGAAGGCGTCGAAGTAGCAATTTTGGAGAACAGATTGATGGGTGTCATTTCCATTTTCATGCTATAAACTTACCTTCTTCCTTTGTGCTAGTTCAATGACTTAGCAGAAAGAATAAGAATAAAATGCCATGCAGCAAATTAATTTCTAATTCCCAAGGAAGCAACTTTTCCTCCAAGTCCTAGTACAGTGCTTTGTCTTTGCTAGAGGATCTTCTTTCCCCCAAAATTGATTGCTCACTAATCTCCAAGCTGAGGAGAGTTCTGCTCTTCAGAACACTACCTGTTCCCACCAGGGCATAGTCAGCATGTACGAGAAAATACATACATAGAATTTCAGTGAACTATCAGTGAGAGTTTCTGCCCTGTTTTGTTTTGCTGGAGAATATGCTACAAGATGAGCTGAGAAAGATGCTGCATGTTTCTAAGTTACGTTTATTTCTCCATAACTGCACTTCTCAGTGCACCATGAAACCACATTTCTATTATTAGTTCATTTAGTTTGCAAAGATCTGTATCACAGCATTTCCCAGAGTTCATGTTAGATATGCAAAGAAAGAGGTTTATGGAATAATACCCATCAAAGTATATAATCAGAAATACTTTCATACTTCATATAATAGATCGTGTTTACTGAACATGAAAAACTTGATTAACTGCCTTAAATTACAATCTAACAATAGCAAGGGGAGGAACTCTCTTAGCTTTTAAAATATTGTACTTTTTATACTCTCTTTTTAATACATCCTCATAGAATTCGGAGTTGTGATGAGCTAAGAGTTCAGCTGTTCTCCACCAGGTTCCTAATTTTACTGTCTTTTATTTTCTGTGAAGCAACTATTAAATGACTTATTAGTGTTGAAGCAATCATCCTTTTAAGAGATCAAAGTCGGAGAAAATCATCATCATCATCATAGGAAGGTCAAGTCTAATGACCCAGATGGAAGGAAGGGAAAATGTTCTTTGCTGACCATAACAACTCTTAGAGCCAAATTATACATCAGTAAAACATTAGGGTTTTTTTCAGAGAAGGATGTATTTCCAACACTACTAAAGAGAAAAAAGTGAAAGTAGCATTTTATTCATTTAAGGGAAGTGCCAGTTAAAACACTGCTCAGGTTTCAGTATATTTTATCAGCTGTGAAATTAATACTGGTTTCTAGAATCTAGCTGCTACACATGCTGAGACTCGTTTCTCAATATAAGCACAACTCAGACATACACTAATGCAGAGTCTAGTCCTCACCAGGTACAGTGGGAATGCAGTGTTTAGGATCTGCCTGGTTTTGATGGTCCTCTAAATCTCTTTATGACAGTGACCCTCTTCTTACAGTGGGTCTCACACACTACTACCCTTATTTGCAATGAGGTCTATTATACGCTCAGATATTATGTGTGGTTTTTATTATTTAAACATCTTTAAAGAGCTTCCAACCTTGTAAAACATGTACTCAGGTCCACTTTCCATCTTACATCTTGTTCCCCAAGTTTGTAAAAATGACCCTGAGGTTATTTGTCATTGCATTTCTAAGTTCTTTCAAGAGCACAATGCAGTGCAGCAGGTTTTACAGTCTTTGTCAATAAGCTCCTTTACTTACAGCTGGTAAGCAGTTACAGGAACTTGTTCTATCCTGATCCTTCAGTGGAAAGACAAGTACATTAAGGCTAGAAATGAATGGGTGGTGTTTAAAAAAACCTGCTACCTCTGATGTCAGAGCTGTTTGCTGTTTTTTGGTTTGTTTGGTTTGTTGTTTTGTTTGTTTGTTTGTTTTTGTTTTTGTTTTTTTGCTACTGCCTGCTCTTTTAAAAAAGAAGATACCTTTGGAGGTGGCATATTTTATCCACAAGCAGAAAAATGTTTTCACAATGTTAACATTTATAAATGAAGGAAGCCTTGTTCTGCTTTACTAAAAGCCTCCTTTTTATCTTTGTGTAGAAGCTACATTTTAATGCAAAAATAGTCACTTTGCAGATATCTGTACTTACTCTTTTTCTGCATGTGTATTACAGTTTGCAACCTCTTTACATCCACGATGAAAGTGGATTCCTTCTATTCTTGGCATACTGAAAAACACCAGTTTTGTCCTACGGTCATTTTGTTTTCTGTGAACTAGCATCCATGTTTCATGGAATACACCTTTTTTTCTGCCCGTCCTGCTAGGGTTGTTTCTCCATTAGAAGAATGTCCCACGTTTGAGGCTATGTGATTTTAAGTGGTGAATGAAAAAATTCCTTCTACAGAAAGTGACAGAGCAGACAGCCCCAGCACAGGGTGTTGCTTTTTTTTTCCTGTACAGGGAAAGTGCCTTTGCAAGGACTGTTCAGCAAGTATAAAGTGGACCTGAAGTGATTTTGTAACTACAATGTAGTCATTCTGGTGTCTTTTGCACCTCTGCACAGGCACATCCCATTAGGACAAATACTAACTGTTTCTCAGCAGCCTCTCTACAGCGTTGTGTCACCACTGAAATATGTATGGGATCCTGGCTGGAGAAGTCTATCTGTGGAGTATTTAATAATATTTCTTGAT